ATTGATTTTCTAATTTTGAAATTTTACCTTTTAACTCAGAATTCTCCAATTTGAGACTCTCAGTCTTATCAGAGTCAGAAGCAATATTCCTTTTCAGGTTTCTGAATTTGACTCTGATCTGCTGATACCTTTCTAGAATTTCATTAAGGCTTTCAGCTAATTCAGCCTTAGTAAAATTTATAGTAAAGTCAGGGAATACCTCTTCTGTATCTGATTCTGAATCTAAACCAGAAGCTTCACTGTCTTCAGAGATGTTTTCCATGAGAGTTATGTTTGCTCTTTCATCATCTGATTCTGAGTCAGCTTCAGATGTGTCAGAATCATCCCATGTAGCCATGAAACTTTTCTTCTTTTCTTTGCCAAACTTCTTTTTGGGCTTCTCCTTCTGAAGCTTTGGGCAATCACTTTTGTAGTGCCCTTGCTCATTACACTCATAGCAGATGATGTATTTGTAGTTTGGATTTTTGTATCCTGAAGAGCCTTCAGATCTTTTGTTTCCAGAGGAGGATTCTGACCTTCTGTATCTGGAGGAAGATTCATTCTGATTTTCTGATCTTCTGGGATTCCTGAACTTACTTTGCCTCTGCTTCCACAGTTGGTTCACCCTTCTGGAGAGAAGAGACAATTCATCTTCTTCTGATGAGGATCCATCATAGATTTCTTCCACAGCCTGCAAAACTTTGGAGTCAAATTTTCTATTAGATTTTAATGCTAATGGCTTACCTTGCTTTTGAGGTTCATCTGCTTCTAGCTCTATCTCGTGACTTCTGAGGGAGCTGATAAGTTCCTCCAGAGAGATTTTGTTGAGATCCTTGGCTAGCTTAAGCGCTGTGACCATTGGCCTCCACTGTTTTGACAAGCTTCTGATGATCTTCTTGACATGATCAGCAGTGGAATATCCTTTGTCAAGAACTTTTAGACCAACAACAAGAATTTGAAATCTTGAAAACATAGCTTCTATTGATTCACTGTCTTCCATCTTGAATGCCTCATACTTCTGAATGAGCGCAAGGGCTTTTGTTTCTTTGACTTGAATGTTGCCTTCATGCGTCATTCTCAGAGAATCAAACATATTCTTAGCAGTTTCTCTGTTTGATATTTTCTCATATTCTGAATATGAGATGGCGCTGAGAAGAATTGTTCTGGCCTTGTGATGATTTCTGAACTCACGCTTTTGTTGATCAAACATCATTTTCATGTCAATCTTCTGACCACGTCCATCCACTGGGTGCGTGTATTCATCAATTACCATGTCCCACAGATCAGCATCATGGTCCAGAAAGAAACTCTCAATTCTGTCTTTCCAGTAGTCAAAGTTTTCTCCATCAAAGACTGAAGGTTTGCCACTGAATCTGTCCCTTTCTTCATTGTTGTCATTGCTGATGTTTTGACTTGGTCCTGCCATTGTGTTTTTCTGACGCTTGATCTTATACTGACACGGTTAAGTGTTAAAGCTCAGAACCAGGCGCTCTGATGCCAATTGAAGATGTGAAAAACACAAGAAGGGGGGGTTGAATTGTAAAACTTAAAATAAATGGCTTGACAATACTGTATTTTTATCCTGGTTCGTTTTATCTCAAACTACTCCAGTCCACCCGTCAAGGTGATTTCGCCTCTCTCCAACGAGGTCTTAATTCACTATTCTCAAAGAATTACAACAGCTACTTTAACAACTGTTAAAGTCTTCTTGAGTACAACCACAATCCGGTTAATCTCAAGGAACTTCTTTTACAAATGAATTGAACAAGTGTGTTGTTGTTTTCTTACAAAATTGTATATCACAATTGTGATAATTTACACTAAAATAAGCTTGGAATAAAATGACTTTACTTAAGCTTTGAATATGCGTGGTTTGGATAGCTTAGCAAAAATTGAGTGCATACGTACGTGCTTCTTTTCACAAGCAGTCCTGTTTATATAGGCAAGCAAGGATACGTTGTCCATAAAGCAGGTTTAATGATAATAATGCACTTTCCTTTTGAAGAAGATCTTTGTCTGAAGAAAGCCGTTAGCATTTAATTTTGTCTTGAATGGCCAGTAACGCTTTAGAGTCTTCTTTGTTGTATCTGCTGATAACGCTTCAGAGTGTTGATGACTTGGTAAAGATGTCTTTGATCAGAGTCAGAGTGTATTTGTTTAGGCACAGATTCTGGTCATCAAACTTCAGTGTTTCAGCGTGTAACATAGGTTGCTGATCTTCTGATGCTGATTCCATTCTGATGCTGAATCCATTCTGATGCTGATTCCATCAGAACTTCTGCATATACAAAGCATAATTTTAAGGAGCATAATTGTTCTTTATATATATCTTTGAAATAATTTATTCTTTGTATTTTGTTATCATCAAAACTTTAATCAAGGGTTGTAGAATCAAACTATGTTCTAACAGATATTGCCTATAATTAGTTAATCAACTAAGGCTTACTTCTAAGTCACCAAACCTCTACATAATGCTATTCTGTAATCTTACATCATTACTATCATTACTCATACTGTTACAAATCAAACAGCAGCCTCTAAACATATCATCTTCGTCACTCTTCACAAAAATCAACGTAACAATTAATACGGGAATTAACTCTAGTCCAAAATTGGCTACTAGAATTACACTTCCTATTCTTCATTTTAATCCTCAAGAATAAAGCTCATCGCGTTAGCAATTCAATGCTTCGAACGACACCTCAAACGGAGTTCGAAAACTAAAGTTACAACATTCTCGAATTGACTCTGCCAAAATCAGACGACATGGATCGACGCAAAACGTCTTGGATCGACGCGTACTACATGAACTCACAACATGAGTCGACGCATTCTCTCTTGTATCGACTCATACTGAGTCTAACACACAACATGTATCGACACATGCTCCTATGTATCGACTCATCCTGAGTCTGAAAATACTCATGTATCGACGCAAAACCTCTTCGTGGCGACTCATCCTGAGTCTCTAAACCTTCTTGTATCGACACATCATGTTTGGGGTCGATGCATACTGCTCCATCCTGCATAAATTCTGCAATTTTCTATGTGTTTTCACTACAGGTTCCATAATTTAAGCCCTAAAAACTTAATCTAATCATGGATAATCATCACTTACAATTATCCTATAATTCTATATCAATTACACAAAATCGAAACGTCATCATTCATCTAAAAATTCATCAATTTCATCATACAACATCATAAACATTCAATTCATGAACAAGACAACAATCACCTCTAACCCCACATACCGATTATCATGAACCCAACTATAGAGTCAGAACCTCACCCTTACCTGAGATTGAAGTTCGCTCTATAATCTTTCGGTCGAATCTTCGTTCTGTCGTTTTTCCTCTTTTTCCAGCAGCTTCACGTTCTTCTTCTCAATCCTTATTCTTCTATTGCCTCTTCTTTCTATTCTTTCTAACAATAATAAAATAACCTATTATTCTCTATTCCTTATTGGACTTAAAAACTAATACACCCTCTTATTACTTCTATTCCTTTAAAACAAGCTCATATCAATAATATTATACTTCTAATATTATTTCTCCGCTTAATAAAATAATTAAATTCAATTAATTACAACACAACTTCTCAAATATTCCAAAAATAATTTAATTAAATAATTAATTAAATTACGGGCGTTACATTTTGTCTCTCTTGATTCATGTTGTATTCCAAGATTGATTTCAAATCTTGATGATGTTTATGTATGCTTCTTACTAGTGTTAGAGAAAACTTTGTTTATATATATTATTGATTATAGTGGAGATTTTAAATAGCCTACCGATCATGTGATTTTTTACTCTTAATTAACATAAATTTTTCCATACTAAAATTGTATTGTGTTATTTAATATATTTTTATTGATTATCGTAACATTTAATATTTAAGAGAATTTGTATTATTGAACTATTATGTTGCACTTGTAATTTCCTTCCAACATAGCTATACAAAATACACTATGCATATGGCAAACCACACCACCTTATATCGTGATAGCATAATTAGTGTGTTGTTGTGTAGAATCAAAATAATGTGTAGAAATGAATTGATATGCAAGACAAGACCCGCAACAACTATTATGATTTATGACAAGTCTCGACATCAACAAATGCAAAAGCTTATGCACACACATGCCGTCATCTTCTAAACTTTTAAATTTAGTACTACATTTTTAGGATAATTGTCACTCTCAAGAAAAATTATATTTTTATTTTAATACCATTACTCACAAATTATATATTGTATTTTATATTTAGGGTATGACACGAATAATTGATAAAAATTATTTGATTTTTTTTTAGATTATAAAAAATAAATAAATAAATTTAAATTTTATATGATAAATCTAAACGAATCGATGTATCTGCTTGTCACTTTTACGTATAAGATTTGAATGGTTGACGAGAGTAAAGTAAACAATGGCTGCATAAAAATGTGACCAATCATATCTATAAAACTGATAACTCACTTGTTTTATTTTTATAAAAAAAATAAAATAATGATGAGATGAGTTCGATTTGCAAAATCATCCGAGCAAAAGAAAATCTCAAAAATAATATATTTATATATTACATTTAAATTTAGTCTTCAACCGATATATACAAATTTTAAATTCAAATTTTGCTGCTATCTGAGTTGAATTAATGATACCAATTGAATCAATTAATTTGAGTTTTTGTGATAGTCTAAAAAAATTTCTTGTCTTTACTTATGGAAAAGAATGCTAAATGTAAGACTTATGACATTGGATAATAAAAAAAGCAAGCACTTATTAGTGATTGACTTTGCAAAAAGCAATGTTTAATTAAGAATGAACACTCTGACATAGAAAGCAATTTCTTCCAATCAGAATGAATAATATTGATTAGACATTATTTCCTACACGTGTCAATTGAAGCAAGAAGACAATTTTTGTGCCCCTATAAATATTGACCCATCAACCATGTGAAATCTCCTCACAATTTTGGTTGGTTTTTTGCTATATAACTTGAAGCTATTAGTTTACTCCTATGGAAAATTGGAGATTGTTATGCTTTGTTCTTCTCTTCACATCAATTTTGATCTGCCATGATGCTCGTCCTCTTCCTTCTTCATCTCTTTCAAGTAGTAATGGAAACCATGCATTTGTTGAGAGTGTTAAGAAAGTGATGAAAGAAATCACGAGAAGAAAGCAATTGTTGGAGACACAATATTCGACTAATCGTCTTAGTCCAAGTGGTCCCGATCCTCATCATCACTAATATGTAATCTAAATATTATAAGAACATTTACACTAAGATTAGATGATTATGCGTTGAAACGTTATAATATGAATCATTTGATTTTAGTCTATTAATGAAGGTATTTCAACAGAATTAATATATGATATTATGATATCAGAAGATTCAAATTTATAATGAATATTTATAATGAATATTAAATTTGAAAAAAACTTTTTTTTTCATTTTTTTGTTTGTTTATTGGTGTATGTATCATTTTTATTTTTAATGAAAAAGTTGTGAGACTATTTGATGAAGCACAACAATGACATTATTTTGAGTGATCCTAGATTGATTCTTTGTGTTTTGTGATTTTTCAAGTTTTCATGTGAATGGGCGGTTAGTCAAGATAAGGAAAAGTAATGTTAACAATTTACACCACTTGATTTCATGTATGTATAAAAAAGAATATGGGCTTATCATCTAAAAAAAATATGGCTTAGTTGGTAATGAATTATATCTATCTATGGGAGCTCCTTAATTATAAGCTTCTCCTACATCATTCACTAATATTAAAAAACAGATATTTATTCATATATGTGTTGATATTATAAGAGAGAATATAATTTATATAATTTTAATAACAATTTGAATAAAAATATTTTTGTAAGATAATTAGGAAAACATGGTGAATTTTACCAATCGTCTTATATTAAAGGAGAAAGAAAGTAAAAAATAAATAAATTTAAATTTAACACAAAACGGAGAATATACTTTGCCTCATAATACGTTTCACATTTAACAAAATTATTTATCTAAATATTATCACATTTGATTTTCATAACTATTTTAAAATTTTTTTATTTGTCCTCTATAATTAACACAATTTACACCTCTTAAGTTATTTTCTACTTTATAACTATTTTTGGAGAATACAAGGTTATTTATTGAAGGTTATATTGGTATAACTTAAAAAAGAGTTTATAAATGACAGAGCGAGAGACAAGAGGCATTAATTGAGTTTATAGTATTTTTTTAGTTGCTAGTTTTTTAATTTGAGTGTCTGTTTATTATATATGTCGTTCTTTTCATTGATCACGTCACTCTTTTGAGAATGGTCGCTCGATATGGGAAAGTGGGGGAATGACATGTCCGCATTCCTTAACAATAAAGAAGGGGAGATTTGACCATGTTCTCAAAAATAGTTGTGGATTAACCGTCCATTCTTGCATCATGTCAACAACAGTTGTTATTTTAAAAGGGCCAAGGATTCAGGTTCAGTACTGTTATAAATACCTCGATGATGGAGCTGAGAAATACAATATGATTCTCACATAGAAGACCAAATACATAGAGCTTCTCACCCTCTATGTGAGCTATCTCTCAACCACACAACATACCTAAAAACATCTGACAGTCTTTAATCACTAGGAATTCTCATGTATTGTACTTTTTAGCAAGTATAATTAACGTCCACCGTGGAGTACGGTAAAACTAACATGGGCCACACTCATCGTTATTCACTATAACTTTCACCTTCTTCTCGTGAGGGGGCTTAAGCAAAGCTCTAACATCACCTTCAATACCATCATCAGAGGCTTCGGCAACAGAGGAGAATCAAGTCCTCCTAGAGAAAATACACTTGTCGGGTTTTTACACCAAATGTCATACCTATTAACTTTGCCAGAATCTCGAGAAAGGGGCATGAACCAATAATCATCTTCTTGAATAAAGACGTTGTTGGTTTTATTCCTCATAATAATGACCCTATGGTCATCACAGTCCAATACGATAATTGGATGTGAAACGAGTATTAAATAACCCTGGTAGCTCTGCAGACTTCTTGTTTTGGAACACCTTCTAGAGGCTCCAACTCAACCCCAACAACATAAAAATATTCCAAGATTCTTTGATTGGCCTTTCAGGAAAACATGTACAAGTAAAGAGCCATATAACGCTTAAAATGACGTTCAACTCAGAGGCAAATGCTAGAATAATTGAATTAAAGTATCTTGTGGTAGATGTCGTGTCTCATTAAAATGCCATCTTAGGGAAACTCACTCTTAACTTATTATGGAAGGTACTTTCCATCCTCAATTTAAGCTATCAAAATAACCTGAAAACAAAGAGGGAACCCGTCGCCATAAGCGTCGCCCCTCATCCAGATGTATGGGACGCCAATTTAACAATCTAGAACCCTATTTTAGGGGTAGAGAATGAAAGGCTTACCCCAATAAAAACCTGAAAAAGGCTTATATTGGCCCCATGAATAACCAATTCACCAAGTTAGGCACCTTCCTGTCGGAATTGAAAAATAAGAGTTGATCGCCATGCTCAAGAGGAACATTGACTTGTTTGCATGGGAGCCTTCAGATATTCCAGGCATAGATACCAGAGTGGTGTGTCATCGTCTCGCCATCGACCCTACTATTAAACCATTATCTCAAAGGAAGTGCAAGGTTGGAGAGGGGAAAAAGGCAGCTATTGATAAGGAAGTGTAGAAGCTGACAAGCGTCGGGTTCATAACAGAGGTAAAATACCTATCCTTTCTAGCTAAGATGGTCTTGGTAAAACAAATGTTCAAATAATGCATGTACGTCGATTTCACTGACATTAACGTTGCATGCCCAAAGGATTTGTACGCTCTGCCTAATATAGACGTTTGATCGACAGGTCTTTGGCTACAAAACACTTAGTTTCATGGTTTCCTACTCCGGATACAATTAAATTAAAATGGATCTCGTGGATGCTCCTAAGATAACATTTGTGTCCAATCATGGTAACTATCATTACAATGGCATCCCTTTTGGGCTCATGAATGCAGGCACTACCTATCAAAGACTCATGGATGCGGTGTTCTAAAAAAAGATAGGGCACAACCTGGATATTTATATTGACGATATGATAGTGAAAAATTCAGAAGGGGATATTCATGCGACATATTTGCGTGATGTTATAGGTTCATTCAGGAATTATAACATGCATTTGAATCTCACCAAATGCGAATTCGACGTGCAAGCAAAAAATTTCATTGGTTTTATGCTGACTAAGAGAGGCAAAGAAGCGAACCCCGGTGAGTTCTAAGCCATCATTGATATGAGGAGTCCCACTAATGTAAAGGAGGTTGAACAACTAATAATGCACCTATCTTCGATATCTTGTCTTATTTCTTGTGTAGGTAATAAGGCTTTCCACTTCTTTGCTAAGTGGAAGAAGAAGTGTGAATGGACGAAAGAATGAGAGGAAGCGTTCTCAAATTTAAATGTGTTCCTAGCATCTCTAGCCATTTTGACCCTCCTGATAATAAGTACGCCCTTGTACCTTTATTTATTTGTTAGTGACCATTCAATAAGCTCAGTACTCGTCGAGGAAACAGATAAAGTGGAGCTACCTGTCTATTTCATGAGCAAGGTGTTCAAAGGTGAAAATGCTCGCTATCAGAAGATTGAAAGGCTCGATTTGGCAATGGTGGTAGCTGTAAGGAAGCTTGGACCTTATTTCCATGGATATAGAGAAATGGTAAAAATAAACTATCATATTTGCCAAGTCTTCAAGAAACGAGATCTTGCAGAAAGAATGGTCTCCTAGGCTATCTATTTGTCTGAGTACGGCATATAATACATACTGTGATCGGTGGATCTGGAACTGACTGTTTAACGCTGGTTCGCGAAATGTCGCGGAAGCAAGAGTCGCCACCGTCTTTTATTTTCTCCAAATGGAAAGGACAAAAGCACAGAAAAATTCCTTATAGAGATTGCTCTCGGTTCGGGAGGTAGATTATAGAAAGGGAAGGTGTTAGCACCCTTTCTATCCATGGTTATCCATGGGCTCTTAGATACTTGCTCATTTGTGTTTTCAAAAGGTTTGTTTGCTTTTCAATGTGGGTTTAAAAGTTTCTTTTGAAAAATTTCAGATCGACTCGTACGTCAGAGTGTTTGAAAAAATTTGCTTTGAAAGCTTTTGAAAATGTGTTGGTGTGAAAAGTATTTTGATTTGTTTGAAAGAGATTAGAGCAAGTATCCTTGAGAACCTACCTACCCTAAGGAATTCGTCTGTGTAGATGTCCTTAAAAGTAGTGCCATCCCACCATTGAGAGGTAGGTAGCACCACCGTTGGAGGTGTTCGGGTCAATTCGATATTCGGGACATGGTGATCACCAGAGCAATGGGAAGACACCTTAGAAGCTACCCTCATGCCAGGTTCCCGGATCATGAGGACTTACTAAGACATCCTCTACTCGACGATCACCTTTCGAAAGGCAACAGTGAGGCGTACCCTAGGGGTGGTGTGTGCGAATTGTGTGTCATGTTTCAGTTTATTTGTCTTGTCATGTTCATTGTGATCTACGCTTGATTTTATTTAAGTCCATACATTCTTTCATGCTTTTGTTAACAGTTAGGAGTGCGGAAAAGATAAATCTACAACTATTACAAAGGCGCGGGTCCACATCGCCAAAATTAAACCAGGACCCGATTTGACAGAAAATAAATAGTGCGAAGAAAATAAAGTGCGAAAAATAAATTACAACGCTTTGGGGCAATTACATGATTATATAAACGATAAAAGATAAATGCGCGAAATTAAATAATTGAAACGACACTAGGGCGTTGGACCCTTTTGCAAATAATTAAAGGTTAATGAGCATTAAAAATAAAATAATAAAAAAAGAATTAAATGATTAAATGTTTTTTAGTATTTTGTATTTTTTAATGTTTTAATAAGGAAAAGAAATTAATGGAAATTAAATTAAAAGACAAACCCTAATTCTAGTATTTTTTTATTTGTTATGAAAGATTTAAACATAGTCTAAATTAAACCTAAAATTTATTATGTACAATTTTTAATTATAAAAATAAAAATAATAAATAAATAGTATTGTGAGAAATAAAAAAAAGGAAATCAACAAAGATATTAAACCTAATTCTACATGTTTTTTTTTTGGATTTTTATTGAAAGAATTAATGTTGTAAATTAACTAAATTAAATATTTTCATGCTAAACAAAATAACTAAAATAATATAATTATTAACTTTTTATCTTTT